AAATACTAGGTGTAGTGAGTGTTTACTATATATTACTTATGCCTTATTACAGAGAGTATCTAAGAAGATAGGACATTAATGATTAGTCTTGCTAAAAACTGTGTGAAGGAAATTAGAATTTTTCATTTAAAATTTTCTGACTAACTAATTTTAAGTTTAAGACTTTAAATTCGTAATTGCAAGCGCGGTTTTCAAAGTTAACTGAAAATTTGTAAATATATAATGTACTCTAGAGTGTCTACTGATATTTTTCATAATCTGAAGACATTAACTCCAGTTTTCATATCAAGATCAGATATTTCAATTTCTACTTAATGTAGAAGTTCCAAAGTTATTAAGAAAACAACTGATTGGAAAAAAATTGCCGAAACAGAAAAGCTTTTAGTCAGATGCAATAATAATTTGAATTGTAGTCCATAGTTTTGATTATATGACGTTTAACTGATTTTAACTTTTAATTTTTTGATATCTGTTTACAGATGGGATAATGGTTTATAAAAATTCATTGAAAAACTTACCATAGTATTATTATAATCATCTGAGTTCAATAAACTAGGCAAGCGAGAATCACGCTTTCTGCCATTAAGTTGGCTAAATGTCAATGAATTATGTTTTCTAGATTTTGGTGAACCTGATAGGCTACTGCCTTTGGACATGGCAGAAGTTTGCAAAGTGTGTTTATCACCAGTAATATTGTTGTGATATTCATACCGGGTTCGGTCATCTTTTTCGTCACCAGATGGTACATCAGTTAAAGAGATTGAAGAGGAATGAGCATACTGAGCTTCCTCTTTCGCTTCACGTCTTGATAGATTTGATTATTCTCTGAGTGAGCTCCGATGAATCAAAGATCCACTAAGAAGAAACATAAGAACTTCAGTTTAGTAGAGAATCTGATGAATTACAAAGAAATGAAGTTGAAGAGAAAAGTTAGTGAATACTTCAAATGAGTATCTCTGTTAATTAACTTATTGACATACTGAACTATGATATGTACCATTATTATGTTTCTAAATTTTCTCTACTTGGTGTTTCCACCCAATAATCTACTTTGAATATTTTTGATTGTTTTGCAGCATCATATTTTATAATATATCTTAAATAATGCAGATTTAAAATGAATATCTGATGATATACATCTTTTATTAGCGAAGGAAAAATCAAACGAGTCAACAGCTATTGGGTTTATTTTAGATCATTTAAGCTAGAAATAATCTAATTCAAGAACAAAACTCAAATTTATCACAATGTGTTTCCACTTCTGGAAGAATGTTTCTGTATTTGTCCAAAATTGCACCCTCCAATTCAGATTCATGTTTACCTGCCAGGATAATAAATCCGATATGACTGAAGCCATAATTAAGTATCAATTTAAACAACATAAACAACAACATAAACAGACTACCAAACTGTAGCACAGAAAGAGTCGGTAAGAACATACTACAAATATACTGGTGTAGGGATTTTCCCAAAACAGAGCCTTCAAAATGGATTCTATAATTATATATGTGATGTGCTTGAGTATGTTGTCAATCTTCAGAGTAATTTTTAAAGCAAATCTGAAATATTAACTTCGAACAATTACCATATCTGTGTGATATATTTTATCCTGCCTTTTGTGATAACCCTGGTGACTGACTAATATAAATAGTGTTTATTGGAAACGGTATACGTTGGTATTTGCAGTCAATACAAGTTCATCGCGAAACTAGTGCACCTCTCCTATGCACGCAACTGAGCGATGCGCGTTGACTTTCGTTGATATTCTTTTGAGGCGGCTGGTCTGTAAACTGTTCCTCACTCTTTAACTGGTCTGTTAAAGAATTCGTCTAATATTCAGTGACATTTCATTGTCACAAAATTCTTTTCTTATATCTAAAACGTAAAACAGGATGCACATGAATTCTTATGATTAAGAAGTGATCACCACTGAGTCTGTGAATAATTTACTTTCCAAACTTGGCTGTCGCTGTTGAAATATTCACCTCTAGATTGAAAAAGGAATACGATGTATATAATTGTGTTCAACTATCACAATAAAAGTTAATGAAGGAACTGTGATAAGAAGAGTTGATTTAGCGACTACACTCTGGATTCAACAACGCAGTAGTATTGACACGATGTCAATTACAACCATCTTAATAACAACTATAAGAACAAATTTCACCATGCTACCGTTGGATATTTTCAACAGTCCTAAATTCTGCTAAATTCAAAGGCCAAACAAGATGTCGTTGCAAAAGATAGGGAATATAGCAAACAAGATCAATCTCAAGACGTCCTTTGAGAGTGGTTAAGGTAAACGGCATGTCCTCCTGTGCTGAAGTTTGAATTAAATATCAGGCGTAAATAATAATGATAAGATAACAACCATTTTTCCTGTTTGACGGTCAAATCTGATGCTTTTCGAGCGTTGTGTTATTTCGGAGGATATTGCTTTCTCCCTTGCGTATGATGAGACCTGCTACTTCAGAGGCTGCTGATACTCTGGCCTTCTTGTCTTGCTTTTGTTGTAGCATGTAGGATGGAAGTCCTAGATCATCTGTAAAGTCTAGATCATTCAGCTTCATCCCGTCTGTTAACTGTATTCCATGATTACCCTGAGAAGTTGGTGTCCTCATAACCCAGTCGACCACCAGGAGAGAGAGAAATTGGAAGAGTAGGAAACCTTGTCTGACACCGGTCATCAATTCGAAAGAGTCTGTGAGTTGTCTTCTATGCATGATTTTGTTGGTTAGTCCTTAATAAGAATAAGGTTTGATGCTGACTGTCTTCTGTGTTAAAGAAGCCTCCCTGGAGTCATCTTGTATACGCTGTCTAATGTTTACTCGTGGTCAAATAAGTTGATCTGAAGTAATGAGTTTCACTGATTTTGTGTAACCATGATTTGATCAGTACATGGCCGATGCTCACGAAATCCAGCCTGCTGATATGGAAACACATTTGTTGAAGACATCTTCATGTGTTTAATGCAGAGTGTTGCCTCAGTAGTTCTTCTTTGGTATCTTGATGAGAAGTCCTTATTTAGAGTCTGTTATTACTTGTCTTGCCTTCCGAATCATGGCGAAGAGAGTGCAAAGTCTCTTTTCTACGTTTACATTCAGTGCCTCAGCTTGTGTATTATCTTGATTTGTCAGATTATTAATCAGATCTCGTCGGTGTTCCCCATGCTCGATCTGGCAGTTTGACCCATCAAAAGGAACACCGGAATGTAGAAGAAGCCTCCGCAACCCTTACGCGTGAAGTACCTTCGCACTTACGGCTGTCTGTTTTCAGTGACTCAGACAGGATGTTGTCTGGCTCCGCCGCATTGTCGCTCATGATTTGTCTGATCACCGTTCTCATTTCTTCAAATGCTGATGGACCAGCACCATTTGAGAAGTCCGTAATATCAACCTTGATGTCGGGTGGATTCAGTGGCGCGAGTCGATTCTAGATTTCTTCGAAATGCTCCACCCACTTGCTTTGCTGTCCTTCAATTTCAGCAATTACTTTGTCTTCGTTGCTTTTCATTGGTCGACCTTGTTTGTGGCAGTTTCCAGGGAGCTGGTTGATTGTATCGTGCAGTTGTCTTATGTTTCCTTCTTTTTCAACCTTTTCTGCTATCACTGCTAGATCTTTAACACTTTTGTGCTTATCATCTTCGATACTCCTTTTCACTCGCTTTTTCTTTTATGTGTGTTCAGCCTTCTCTGCTATTGTTCGACTGATATTGAATGCTGCCCTTCTATTTTTCCTTTCTTAAATCCTATCCAGAATATTAAAAGTGTCTGATTGTTTAAGGCGCTAGTTTTTGTTATTCAAAACCTCATGACAAGCTGGATTTACTGTCTAGTCGACCCCTTACCATTTATTTTTCAAGTTAGTTTCTTTTCCATTGAGTTGATGATGAAACAACAGGAGCATATTGCTGTAGGCTGTCTTCGATCTGTCGACATTGCCAGTATTAACCTTATTAAAAGTCTATGATGTTGTCCAGCGCTTCAACTGGGCAATCAGTATATGATCATCTGTTGCTACATCAAATTCTTCCTTGGCTACCATATCCTCCATGGTCCTTCAGAATTTTTTATTGGTGAAGTTATCATAATGTTTCTGTTCAGGGAGACCCATGTAGTATGTGTCTGCATTTTTATGGGAATATTGTGGCGCCTATAAACAGTTTGTTGAAAGCCCTAGTGACCCTCTTTTTGACTCCATCATTTACGAAAAATGAAATATGCTATAAAATAAATCTTTCCTTAAGTTTACGCATATGAATATGTAAGCGAAGTAAATTAGTGCGACGGTGGTAATAAGAAGCCGAATACGGATTCGTTTGGGTTAGTTTGATTAAAGCAATCGTTCATGCAAACAGACATGAGGATGTAAAGCGAAAAAGCAAAGCAAAATAAATTGGAGTGGGCTCTCCCGCCTTCTCCTCTTTACGTGTACGCTATAAATTCTTATGTCTGTCCGCCTAGACGAATGCATGAAATTAACTTATCCAACTGAAACTTATTATTACTGTTGTCGCTCGAACGGAGTCAACCTAATTATGATATACGCAAACTGAAGTGAAGATTTATTTCAAAGCATACTCTACCGTCTGCCTAAAATGGAGTCAGGTCGCGGATCACTAAAGTAGTGAGCGCTCTTCCGAATACAGCCAAGGAAGGACACAGGTTTGTGAGTCTCTTTCCGTTTCCATTCCTTTCTTCCAATCCCTTTTGTCCTACGATGTGGCAGTATTCACCGTTGTCAAATTTTAGTGATATCATCTAAGTCTTTCGTCAGAATGCGCCACTAGTTTGATGAAGATTTGTTGACGATTGCATATAGCTTCTCAGAGAATTGATAAATATTGTCTTCAGTGTTTTGGTTGATTAGCACGTTGCCCTGTATAAATTTGTCTGCTTTATCCATCCCTATTCTCTTTTGTCATTGATATTGACAAGTGGACTGAGTCATATTGGTAAGTGTAAACTACTGAGTCGGGGTTCTAGAGATGATAGTAACCGATGGTTAGAGACCTTGAATGACACGGCTCAAAATCGTTAGCAATGGCGCAGGTGCATCCATTCTTTGTGTTCTTTGAAATTCCAATCTTCTAAATTCCTCATCAACTCTATCTCTCTTTTTATAAATTTATCTCACTAATATCCTCGTACCTTAATTTTCTCCATTACCGCCAATGGCAACCTGAACATATGTGCGTGCGTACGAATTTCTACGTTGTAACTGACTGACTGACAGACAGACTGAAATATTCAAAATGGAAACCTTCCAATTGAGAGGGCAGATTTTAAATCGTTTGAATGATGTTTTCTGATTAGGAATTTTCAACGGGTTTGTCTTCTTTGGGAGAGTTCTGTGCAAAGTTATTTATCCTCTGCATCCACCCCTTGGAATCAGCTTTTACGAGGATTTGGGTCGTGCCTGGGTTAAGTACCACTCCTCTCATAGTTTTAGAAAAGCTATTGTCGACCGTCGAGTATCCAAGCGAGGCAGGCCACATGTACATTTGCAGTGGGTCTCCAAGTCGAACAGCTTCATGTAATTTTGAAGGGTTATGTTCTGCACCCTTTCTCATGAGAATGATACCTCAACTGTTCCTATGATTTTTCCATTGGTTTAAGTCACAGGGAGGTCAGCCCGACCCTTTCGGGAGAATGACTAGCTTCTTTACGAATACTTTTAATTGAATCCTAAAAATCCTGGAAACCTGACAGAGTAATTCTCCGGAGCTAAGGTGAGTCCTTCTCAAGGAGTGGGGGCTGTGGCATGGAAGGAAACTAGTGCAGCCGACCAGGTTGAACCCGCTTATCTGGTGACTGATCATGTAATTGTGGGGGTTGGGCACGTTCCAACTAATACAATAAATGCGCCCTCGCATGTCTACAGATAGCTCTTCCTGTCATATCACCTTCGGCGTTATCATTTTACACTTGAAATTTATTTCATTTTCTACTTTGCATTTTCCAATTTTTCTGTAGACATGCGAGGGTGCATTTATTGTAATTTTCAATGGTGAACAGTTTTCGAATGAATTTCTGATTGAAATGATGTGGCAAAAAATCCCCAAATGAAAGCAGATCAATCATAAATAGGAAAACGGTTCATTTATAAACAGTCTTGTTAATTAATACGTTTTGAAAGGCTTTCTCACACTTGAGCAATGATAGTTTAGTTACAAAATAAGAACCAGCAGAAACTCATCACATAATCTGGACATCTATGTTCACCGAAAAACCGCCACGTACAATATGTCATGATTTCATCATCTATAACTATCAATTTGCTTTGATATTACATATCACTTTACAGCTAATAGGCGGATTGAATGATTGAACGTAGTTTAGTGTTCAATTCAAACTTGATAGTGTTTTGAAATTATAATTAAAATTAAACCCAAATAATTAGCCATGTACGGCTAAGTATCACAAATTATATTTCAGCATTTACCGTCACCCCATTCAGAATATATATTTAACAGCGATCACCAAAAACATTATCGAAAATAATAAGAATAAGGATAATTTAAATGAAAGTTGAATTTTATAAACGATATTTTGCTATACATATGAATTGATACATTTCACGTTGACCTGTTCACATTAGATGAAATTTAGGTAGGTAGATGGGTAGGAATGTGTCCCGTGAATATATATATATATGACCAAAAAAGAAATACAAAGCACATGACAGTTAACAGTAATGCCATATATATTATCAGTAAAAAGATGGAAAATTACACCATGTTTACAATGATACTTCCGCAACTGACAATAATGGTGACAACAATTTGGAGCTCAAGGAAAATTGTAGACATGGAAAACAAATATTTTATTTTGTATTCAAAAAAATTTGTATGGGCTTCAATAGTCCATACGTTTTATCTTATTATTCGATTATGAAAAGAAATAAAGCAAGTTTGACAACTTCAGAGCTCTTCAAACTCTGATCTCTATGTTTCATGTTTTTAATAAATAGTTGATTTTTCATATTTTTCTCTTCCCTATTGTTTCCATTCAGTATAAAATGGGGATCATGATTAGAGTTTAAAAGTAGAATCCTAAAAATAGAAATCCCATCTGATACGACAGGATTAATTCAATCACGAAGTTAGGTAATGATAAAGTAGCGAAAGAAGGAGATTTTTTAAGTCTGTTTTTAATGATTAAGTGTTGTAAACATTCGTATTGGCAACTTGGTAATGTGATTAGGAAAAACCTGAAGCATAGGTTAATTTAGTGAATGCAATCGAAAGCATGAAGGATTATATATTATGATCTGTTAGATAGGGAATTATTTAAGTAAAAAACTATTGGAGTAATAAAAAAATTGGAGGGGATTTTCATCTGACTTTCTACTTTCATTTGCATTTGTTTGGATTACAATCAAAAATGTAACAAACGTTAGTTCGTCCCAGAACTTATGGAGACATAGGCAAGACAAACATTATCGAAAACAGAAGGCAACATAAATCATCATTTACAATTGTTTTGTATCAGAAAAAAAGTAGGAAACTGTTAAACTATAGTATTGTACATCTTCGACAACATTCTTGGCGAATTAAGGAATGCTGTGAGTATTCAGTTAGTCTTTCTTGATCAATATATTGTGGTAATGACAAGTCACTTGAGGAAGCGTTTTGATATTGATCATTTATATTATTTAAATTCACTTCTCTATCCGTGAGATATTTAAAACTGTTTGACTGAGCCACTGAGTTAGATTCATTCGAAGAACAAATTGATTCAGCATGACCACGTTTATCCATTACTGTTATCTGACCATTGGTATATTTACTATTTAAGTCAGTGTCAGCAATCGATAAAATTGTAATCTCTCGTTGATTGGGGAATTTATTTTGAACTTTGGATTCACTTGGAAGGGATTGAAACTAAATACAGGTTACAGATGCAAAATACTGATTAAGAATGATAATCGTATAATAAACACATACATACATCATACATACATGCACACCATTAGTTTGATCGATAATAATTAATTAAAACACTGTTTATCAGAATGAATGCTTCGAAATTTATTCACTGATTCAAATGTACTAGTTTTACTGTTTCTAAGGTTTCCAGCTGGGTTTAGAAAAATAGTGACAATAAGAAGCACTTGTTTCTCCATTGAACAAATCATGTGCGATTAGATCAAAGTTAGCAGGTGATTCAAATTCAATTTTGATTGAGTTATTCAGATAAAATAATGCGTATACAGTTTCGAAAATATCAAAATAGAGAGGATATAAGTCATGTTACTTATTTATACCTGTCATCTAGGTTATAGGCATCAATGCTATCAATATTATTTCATATCACAGGTTTAGGTACGCTTCTTGAGATGGAGAAAATTTGTAGCCCGCGTGGATGATTGTGCTGGTGTTTCGCGGTAACAGAACAAGCTAAAGGTCAAACGTGGAGAATTTTGTAACAGAGTCAAAATTACCATGTATGATGTTGCGAACCCGTTCTGCTTTCTTTCTATTTCAGGGCGATCAAATGTAAACGCTTTGGAAGCTGAAGAACAAGCCCTGAGTGCTCCGAACTTACAGGATAAATCATAAGACTTTAGTAAACTACCCACCCTTTTCTGTACAAACCCCGCGTATTTTAATTTTCAAATAAAAGAGTGTCGTGGCTACCGCTTTGTGTTCTCTCTTGGTGTGAGGTGTTAAACTAACCTTGTGTGATGTGATTTTAGATCCTGTCCGCCCTTCAGTGACTGCTAGTTACACGTGTTACATTTTTGAAAACTTCACTTCTATCTGAACTTTGTGCTGATGATATTGTTCAGAAAAACAATGAAAGCTCCACAACCAAAACATCCAGCTCAGAGAACGAAACACCATCACAGGTACGCCTCCTACTTCCTCATGCTTTTACCAACAACCTTCCTTTATTTACAAAACAGCAGTTATCTAAAATCTGTTGAGTCTTGCAGATTTTTGAGTAACGTTTTAAATTCACGTCACAGAGAAATCGATGATTGACTTTAACACTTCAGGAATTGAAACATAACAAATGAGGGATCTGCTTTTTACAAACCTGATGAACTAATAATCAATGATATCATGCTGGTGAATTCAGAAGCTTTTTACTTTTCGAATATATTTGATGAATCGTGTTTTAATATACTGAAACATTAACTGCCACTACTCTTATGATGTAAGTAGAATAACGGTCAAACTTATTTTAGCGAAGTGTATAATGTTTACACATATTTAAAAAAAATGTAGGAACAAACGTTTTCTGTCCCGATTATTTATAAATTAAGTTGATCAATAATTTTTCATTGTGGTAAATATTGTGAAACGAATCATTAATAGTACTGATTAGGTGTTGATGATATTAATTTTTCAGTGAAATAAAACTAGCATAAGCTTTGCAGATGAGAGGTGGAGCCGTAAAATCAAGATTCAGCTTAATAATCATTTTCTGAAGAAGAGTTTGTTGATAAATACTAGGTGTAGTGAGTGTTTACTATATATTACTTATGCCTTATTACAGAGAGTATCTAAGAAGATAGGACATTAATGATTAGTCTTGCTAAAAACTGTGTGAAAGAAATTAGAATTTTTCATTTAAATTTTCTGACTAACTAATTTTAAGTTAAGACTTTAAATCGTAATTGCAAGCGGGTTTTCAAAGTTAACTGAAAATTTGTAAATATATAATGTACTCTAGAGTGTCTACTGATATTTTTCATATCTGAAGACATTAACTCCAGTTTTCATATCAAGATCAGATATTTCAATTTCTACTTAATGTAGAAGTTCCAAAGTTATTAAGAAAACAAACTGATTGGAAAAATTGCCGAACAGAAGCTTTTAGTCAGATGCAATAATAATTTGAATTGTAGTCCATAGTTTTGATTATATCAGGTTTAACTGATTTTAACTTTTAATTTTTTGATATCTGTTTACAGAGGGGGTAATGGTTTATAAAAATTCATTGAAAAACTTACCATAGTATTATTATAATCATCTGAGTTCAATAAACTAGGCAAGCGAGAATCACGCTTTCTGCCATTAAGTTGGCTAAATGTCAATGAATTATGTTTTCTAGATTTTGGTGAACCTGATAGGCTACTGCCTTTGGACATGGCAGAAGTTTGCAAAGTGTGTTTATCACCAGTAATATTGTTGTGATATTCATACCGGGTTCGGTCATCTTTTTCGTCACCAGATGGTACATCAGTTAAAGAGATTGAAGAGGAATGAGCATACTGAGCTTCCTCTTTCGCTTCACGTCTTGATAGATTTGATTTATCTCTAAGTGAGCTCCGATGAATCAAAGATCCACTAAGAAGAAACATAAGAACTTCAGTTTAGTAGAGAATCTGATGAATTACAAAGAAATGAAGTTGAAGAGAAAAGTTAGTGAATACTTCAAATGAGTATCTCTGTTAATTAACTTATTGACATACTGAACTATGACATGTACCATTACTATATTTTTAAATTTTCTCTACTTGGTGTTTCCACCCAATAATCTACTTTGAATATTTTTGATTGTTTTGCAGCGTCATATTTTATAATATGTCTTAAATAATGCAGATTTAAAATGAATATCTGATGATATACATCTTTTATTAGCGAAGGAAAAATCAAACGAGTCAACAGCTATTGGGTTTATTTTAGATCATTTAAGCTAGAAATAATCTAATTCAAGAAGAAAACTGTCTGTTGGATTATTGAAAATTACAGCACCTGTCTAAAGATGTGAACTGTTACAATGCTCAGAAACATTACCATTATATTATACACAAACATGGATAGTATCAACTTTTGATATGGAAAAGTTGGTGTCCTCTGTTTTCTGACTAACTTAAAATATAAAGATTTAAAATTTTTAAATATCATCCAAATATCTTAAATGGTTATTTACACTTTGTATCAAATGAAAGTACAATGGTGCTTGATTATTGGTTTAGACTAACTGGCGTCAAGCAAATGTTTAAAAAAAAATATATATATATATAAATATATAATTTCCAATTCATTAGCTGTCATCATTTATTACAATTAAAAGTATTAAGATATCTGCCAAAAGTAAATATATATTGCGTACCCAGTTTGTTCGCAAGCATTTATGGTGGAGCATGTAAATAGGATGATCCAATGAACTATTGGTTTTTATTATTAATTACTGTAAGATGCTTCAGATTTGATTAAAATCAGTGATTATAAATCTTTAATAAAACATGAGGAAATGAATGTTTTATGCACTAAATTTTGAATTATTATTAAAGGCTTTTTTTTCGACTAGTGCAAAAGACAAAACTGATCAAAAATAAAAGCACAATATTTAGCACATACTCTAAAGTTCAGTTTACATCCACTGAGATGGCTTTTTTTCACACTGACTTAAATTTTCCTTGTTTTTTCATTGCTTTGTTGGTTGAAAATCACCATATTATTCAATATCAATTCCGTTTATGAGACACTTTAACACTTAGAAGGTCGGCAAATGCTCAAACCTATTTATTCATATTCACTATACACAACTTAATAATGTACTGGGAGTATGTTATTTATAACAAATAATTTTATTACATTCACAAGCTAAACGTGAGGAATATCTGTAATAATTATGATAAGTTCAAACAATTTATCAGAAAGCATTTAATCATTTCAGTGAGGATCTAACTGATCTGTAGGATACTTTAACCATCTTGATAATGAAAGATTTGACGTTTTCGAGTTTAGAAATGATACATTTTGTAAAAATAAATACATATGCCATGGTTAAAGTGTGCCGCGCGAGTAACAAAGTCTCAAAAAGTATTTCCGCTTAAACTTTTTGTTTCTCTCAGCTGTTATAATGTAGTCAGCCGACCAATAAAATCGTGAGAATATCAATATTTTCAATCAGCAGGATGGAAGTAAAAAAAGTATTACCTTCTTCTGCGTCGAAAAGGTTTCATCGAACAATTCGAATCCATTAATTTGGCAGTTGATCTAAGTTTTTCTCTCATATTCCAAATTGCACAAACTTCATCATGAGTTTCATCATTATCACATATTGCTGGAATATAACAAACAAAAAACGGAGCGATGACATATGATGATTTTACAGTTGCATGTCTCAATAAACGTTGCAAATGAGTACATTATGTGAAATTTTATGAAGACTTTTATGAAGATTTTATTATAAACGCCATATTATTTAAAAGATATGACTCTCTGCGATCATGGCGCTTTTCTTAAATGCTTCATTCAAAAAAATGACAGTTATGTGACATGCAAGATTAACTCAAAAAGAAAACTATCAGTATGTTAATTATCTTTGTGAAAAATTAGTAAGGAAACGTGGAATTCAGATTGAGTAGATAAAGATAATTATATCAAAACAAACCTAAAATGATTACGATATCGAGAAAACTTGTTTTCTCAGAAACTGCTTTACGAAATTAAATTCTCAAAGTGAATTCATAAAGATATGAAGCATTTTACTAACATAACCTGACCAGAGTTAAGCTTGTTTTTGTAGGGCACTGTTTAATTTCTTTTGTTCAGTTAAAAATGAACTAGCAGAAGTATGTTCCAGAAAGCTGAACATTTTGCAGAATTTACTGAAAAGTGTAGAGTTTTTTGAGGACTTAAACATTTACTTGTTTTACTGTCATGAACTTTATTACGACTTATACCAAAAGTATATTAGTTCATTCATAGTTATAGTAACTATATTTTTAATTATGTCACAGATGGCTAGTTCGCATAAAAATTTGTTTCTTGAACAAAAGGAGAAATATCTGTCGGAGTTCCACTGGTTCTCTGGACGCTACAAACAGTTTTAACTAAACACATGTCTATCTTGTATTCCTGATTAACAGAAAACGAAAGTGGGAATTTTCGCACGAAATTTATTAGTTTCATACTTTAAAATTCGTTTGTGTACGTAGTATGCACAATAAACATAATACACTGTCATTAAATAATATAGGGCTTTGAAAGCTAATTTTCATTCGTATTCATTGTAGTATTCTTATCTAATTTCGTTTTTCATGTTCAAAATATTCATAGAAATTCTCAGAAATCATTTCGGACAATAGCTGTGTTCAGTAGAGAGGGTCACGTAATGTTACTTTCAAGAAACTAGTGGACAACTACCAGAAATGTGAAGGCGTATTGTCTGTATGCCATAAAATCTATAATTACTGCACGAATTCGGTTAAACACATTTCTTCATAAAAAGATTATACTAAATGAAGTCGATTAAGATTCAAATTTCGTAAACAGTGGATTGAAGAGAGATCAGTGTCTGTGTTCTTCAGAAAATCACTTGAAAACTGATATTTAAATAACATATAGCTCATCCCTATTGACAAGTGGTACTGTTAGCTTAATGATTAGAAACTGTTATTAGAGACCCAGTAATTGTATTTGGTGAACAGTAAGAGGTATATAAATCAATTCGGTAAGATCATCACTAGTTAACCAAACTAAAGAACGATCTGTCATACATTACTTATAATTTATCTGCACAAAAAATGTTATAATAGTTTTAATGAAGTGACAACATGATAAACCTAAAATTTCATCTTCAATCCAGTATTCACTAGTAGTTATCAAAACTGTGTCACCAACAATACTAACTGATTAGTTATTTGTATTTCTGTAATGTAATTAACATCAGGTTAGGAGTCTTTATTTAACTCTTAAAATCTGTCTACTTAATCAATGTATTAGGAAAATCAAAGTGTTTAATAAGTAGGAACATTTAATACACTCACTGAATGCTGTTCTACCATCGGGTGTTGGTATTGTAAGGTCACCTCCATGTGATACAAATAACCTGATCATTTCCAGCTGCAAATACAGATAAAATTAACTAAATATGTTTGACATGAAATAAAAGTAAACCATTTTCACAATGTACTCATTATTAGAACTTCATACAAGATATTCAATTTTGTTATTGTTTTGATCTACGGTTGTTTTATACTTTCTCTTGATCGATGTATTTTCTCAACAATAATATTTTACTTCTATCAAACCATTTTAGTCCGTGCAACTGAACTGATTTAAAACATTAAAAACAATGATCTTATGTAGTGTGGTATATATACATTACTAAACTCCGAATATCACGGAAATGCATATCAACAAATGATAACAGACTAAGAAAGCAAACAAGTTATAAAATCTCATGTTTGACCGGTTAACTCAGGATTCATATTTCCACTACTTAAAATAATTCGTCCAAGCTATAGTACCATTCAGTACTATAAAGAATCAATTTCCAAATGGAAAGTCATTACATTATATCAAATGTATATTGCTCCATATTGTTCATTAGAGACTGATTGAAATAATAAGCACTGTTTTGTTTCCAAATAGCACTGACACTCAATTTCAACTCTCAAGTCCCTTAAGATACAACAAATTATAGGCGTATTTATCACCCAAAGCCTTTAGGAAACTAATATGCCAAGGTTTGAGTAAACCATATTTGTTAACAGTGTTTTTTCTAGTCAACCGCAATTTAAACAATTTGGTTTCCATTTATAAATGATGTTCATGCCCTTCTATAGATAATGAACAGATGATCTGATACTTAGACAGCAGGAAAATTTTTTGAAAACTGAAGATGGTCTGACGTTATTGTTTGAAAGGATAAACTCAAGGTTTTGCTCGTGATCATAACAAAATCTGACATCATTGCAAACTGCTATTCGATGACGGATCCCTTTGTCTTCTTCAGATTGTAAGAAGTTGGCCAAACAACTGGTGAATGTAAGAACCTGGCTTGATAACTTTCCCACAATAAAAATACAGTTTTTCTCAGCTTATTAAATCAAAAAATGGATAAATTTATGCATGATTTCGAAAACTGTAAAGCTGGCTGAATTGATAAGATAATGTTCCGGCACTCAAGAAAGCATCAAATATTGGATTTTGTTTCTGAATGTAATACTTTCCTACATGATACAAAGCCCTAGTCATATTCACTGGTGAAAAACCTCTAATCACGTAGTTTAGTAAGTTTGAATGATTAAAATTTTGATCACTTAAACTTATTTAACCACTCAATGTGATAAGTTTCATTCAGTCTTCTTTAGTGGTGACCAAAGATAATATCTTAGTACCTTTTTCAAAAACCTAGCTTCATTGTTTGCACAGTTACCAGTTCAGAAGTTAGTACTTGTCAGTAAACTGATAGTGTCTGAGTAAGTTAATGATGTGTTGAGCCCTTAAGTTGTGTTTATCGAATTCAGTAAAACAGTTTTGTTTAGTTGAACTGACTGAAATATCTTGATGAATAAAGATACGAGATAAGACCGATCTAAGAAACAGGGAATTCCTTATTATGGACATATTTTCTGCCATGTTTGTGAATAATGACTATAAGAGGACAGAAAATTCACCTGACCGTTTTAATGACAGAAGTTTTACAACTATTAACAAATTTTATCTCAATAAAATATTTTTTCGACGAATAATTCAATGGATTATAGGATTTATGAATGTGTTGTGTGATGATTCATGTAGTATGTGAATACTTTATAACGCTCAATAAGCCCTCACATACTATGCACAAACATTTGTGCCTGAAGTTCTCAGCCCACTAAGAGGAAAATAAATTGGGATTGACAGTGATGTAAAAACTATATTTTGACAGAATCAATACATTGAATTTCGAGGAGATATTATACAAAGCTAATTTAAGGGAATCTATTTTATAACTTCATGAAGAGTCTTTAAATCAAAACTTCATATGTTACACACAATGTTTAGAAATTTAATCCTTAAAGTCTCTTAAAAACTTAATTTTATAGATGCTAGTAGTGGGAACAGAACGACTTCTTAATCTAGCCATATTATCACCATAATTAAGCTTAGCATCTGGTGAAATTTGGAACTCTGTTATTTTTCACAATAAATAATTGTCAGGATCAAATTAAAGCTTCGAAATACCTAATAGAGGAATATTTTAATTCTATATTAGATAGTTAAGCTTATGATATAGTTTAAACACGACCTGTCTATTCAGTAGTTGTCTTCTAATTATCTGGATAATAATTTGTTGTATCACAGTTATGTAAACTGTTTACTTGATGTTTGAGATAGATTGATAACTCTTCAACAACAAGGAATTATTAGTAATAAATAGTAGCAGAAGAAATTCCGCGGCTTGAAAGAAGAACTGAACAGTAAAATAAGTTGCAAAGTAGTGTCGTAGAAAATGTTACTTTATTTTAGGGTCTACTATAAAAGTTCATTTTGATGCATTTTTTTACGATCTCTATTTTTGACTGTTCTCTTTGCATCAATTATTTTATGAAGCTGTACTTAAAGTGCTGCCTTAATCGCCTATAAAACCTCTATCCACGAGGAAGAAGTACATCAAAATTTTGCCTGCCATTAATGTAGTGAGGAAATCAAAAGTGGTCAAATAAAAAGGTTATTTGATGACATTCAGAAATGCCCTGATAGACGAATGGATATCATTGGTCAAGAAATTGCTTCTTTTCTAGCGAGGTGGACAGTATATGTATTTACGAGCTCTTTTACATATGATTTGGTAACCAAATAGACTCTCCTTCTGTTCTTGTCTTCTCGCTCAAGTAACCAGTTTTGAGGGTTAGCCACTATCCCGATCAGATGTAATACACAACACACCATGATAACTATGAGAACTACCAGAAAAGTTACTCTCTAAAGATAACTTACTTCACCCCAGCAAGCAGCAACATGTGACGGCGTCCATCCGTCTGCATCTAAACTATTAGGATCTACACCAGACTGTAGTAAAAACAAGCCAACCTCACAATATCCACAGGCTGCAGCAACATGAATCTGTAAATATATTTAATCTGTGTTGGATCACCATTGATTAGCATTTTATAGATAGTGAATAAATTTTTATAGTAAAGTTTAAAAATACGCTTCGTTTTATTTTATCAGGAACACAATCTATTAAGTGTAAAAATTCACGCTTCAAAATGTGACTTTTTTCTTTCGAAGCAGATACTGTTTTCAAAGTTGAGTTTAACTAACGTTTAGATCAAATACTTATTTATAAAAGGTGGTGTGAACACCGGTTTTCGAATCAGTGGACATAAAGATAAATTCGGATATTCTGTTCGCTGGTATTCTTTTACATTTATACTTGAATGAATTTAAAATCATAGCTTTTTTACCAATAAATATCAAACTCTTATATTCTTCGAAAACATCAGTTTATAGTTTGTTATGCCATTTCTAATAGAAAAAAATGAAGGCACACTAACATAAGTTAAATTTTCACTGATATTGGCAATCAAACTAGATTTGTTTACCTGGAAATTAAATCGTTTTCAATTTTATGAGCATGAAAAAGTCTTTGAAAATTGCTCTTGACTCAATTAGTTGTTTTCATTTTTCGAGTAATCTCAGATTCGTTAGCTGAAAAGATTACTATTTGAAAAAAATATATATTACTCCTATTTCGCTAAACTTTAGTTTATGATAAATTTCTTAAAAATCCATCAGCAGAAACAAACTTAAAACATTAGTTAAATTGCTTCATGAAAAGCGATAAGAACAATAAAATAATGCATGAATGCTATTTTTTATGCCAGTAACCCGCTGATGAGAGACATTTTGTTGCCGCCTTTTTTCAACAACGGAAAGAATTAACAAATCCATAAATTAAAAAGAATCCGTAAGAATGATAGCTTTTGATGTGATCCATTTGCTAGACCATTTATTGTATTAGTTTCGATTGAGAAAATGTTAGTAGTTTAATGTTACGAGAATAATGAAATTGGAGAAAATATAATCGGTTTTTAACATTAGTTGTGTAATACAGAAAAATCCCAAAGGTGACTAAAAGTTTTTAAGGGGTTTATTTCTTGGAAGTTAAAACAAATAGTCAGTCGACAAACTTCTATTCATACAAAAACTTCGATTCATTCAATCAAGATTTATGAATGAAAAATAGAATGTTATTAAAATTTCCTAGTTATATAAAGTCATTGGATTTGGATTGAGTTCTGTACATGAGCTGATTCATTTTACTGTACAGCACTAATCATATTTTTAAAATAAACATAAACTGACAAGTTTCATTTAATAGGATGATCATGGTAAAATTTATGATACATTATTGAAATACTTGGTCTCGTTATTACTGTTAGACTGATATTAGTTTGCGTTAAATATACATGAGCCTTAAGTAATCAGCCAATGTCGTTTAAGTTTCCAACTTTAAAAAACAGAGTTAATAATCAAAATAAGTGAACAGTTGTAACTTATTTTTGAACAGTGAATTTAGTTAGAGCAAAATGTTTACTAGATTTGAATAGTGTAAACTTCTAAAAGAATTTCACTGAATCTGTTTGAATAGTCAATAACAAATGGGATTTGGTTTTCGAACAAAACATGGTTGAAAGAACCTTAAAAAGCAGTCTGAGCAAGGTGTACCATACAAGCTGGATATAAGCCATAAATGTGAATTTCTTGGCTAGGAGCCACATAAAAGTCGCTACGTCTGACTTTAAACATTGAGCGTCATGTCTTATTTACTCTTTATCTTACTTTAAATATTATCCTCATTGCCAATGAGATACGATTACTTTATTACTTTGATAAGTCTCAAACGTTATGATTAGGGAAGAAGTAGTTAATTTTTTAATCTGATATTTCAGGCTGTACTAAAATATTGAAGATCATTCATAAACAGTAATTTCTCAGCAGAGTATTGCGTGTTTTTTAAAAGGACGAAACGAATTCAGTAAGGTCATAAAAATTAGTCTAGTAAGAGATACAGGTATGGAAAACTGACTGACTATCGTGCATTATTTTATATGTTTGTTACACAAGACAAGAAAGTGTTAATAATTACTCGTATAGTCCAGTGTAAAGTTAAACGACAGTGTTAGCATCACCATTATCCAAAAGTGTGTAAATAATAACAGTGGTCACTAGTGGGAAACACTTACCGGAGCAGCACCTTGTGCGTCCAGTATATTTAAATTATATCTTTTTAATTGTGCCGTTTTAAGATCTGAGAGCATTTTCATTTCTGGAGCAGAACGAGCTTCTTCAATATCTTCAGGCGATATACCTGAATGAATGAAACGAGAGTATAAGTATTATTACAAAAATGTTAAATTACGTTAGAAATCTTCAGTTAATTCTAAACAAAATAAAAGCAAATTCATATGGAAATTATTGGTTTTTGCGTAGCAGTTAAACTCTTTGAAATGTCATTCAGGAATTAAAAATTTGATAAAGCTCTAACTCAATACAAAAGGGAAAATTTCTCGTGACTATTATCTACTATATTTACAACAGTGATAACAAACACTAAAGGTTGTACGTACCTACCGAATTAGCAATTTCGTCTTAGAATGTGACGCAACATTGGTGGGTATTTGCCAACCGATAAAAGTTGTGCGAATAGGTTTATACAGATTGCTTTTTCTATTATGATTGACCACTAGGACTGATAAATATTTACTTGCGTGTATTTTAGGAATATCTGAACCGTTAATAAAATAAGTATTGTCGAAAGAGAAATCTATTTGGTTTCTTTGTTTCTCAGAAATATGCTCAAAAGTTGACGAAAAATATTTTGTCAAAATTACTGTTTAGTAATTCTCGAAAGAATTCGAATCAGCCGCTACTTTTGTTAAAACTAAATAATGTGACCATTGGTAAGTCACCTTATTCGGCAGTTGCCCAAGCAAACATTAAGAATTACCGACGACATGAATACATGTGTTGATAGTAATCAAACTGTCTTGTTTTTGTAAGATAAACTTTTATACTTTCGATGAAATATATTACGACTTGTAGACAAATAACAATTTTTTTATCAGAGATCAGGCAATAATCTAATTAATTCTTACATCCGTTCTCTGAGACTGAAAACCATTGACAACAGTTAAAATTAAGGTCCTCATATCATGAGTTTAAAAAGTCGACGAAGGTCAGTACAGTTGAACTCCAAGCGATGGTGGATCAGTTGAAGATTAAGGTAAATTCTATCTTGATAACTCCCATAGCCATCTACTTAGTGTTATTCAAAAATTATTTCAAGTGATTTTAAATTGTCAAAAGTACTTTTTACTCCTTTGATTTCCTTTTCACTTGCCTGCAGCATGTATGTTCAGGTTTGAAATTCAAGCGATTCCTACACATTTTACAAGTATGAACGAATATCGGTTATGATGTCCATGGAAAGTTTTGCAGTTAAAATATGTTCTCTCAGCCATTATATCATCAAAATTTATGATGCTTAGTGTCTTCATCTGTTCCTTTCGCTTCTATTGAAATATACATATATCGCATGCCACAAGATAAACTACATCACGTTATAGTTAATTCGATTAACAAGTACAAAAAAACTGTAATTCCTGCAAAAATTTCATTTTTTTTTCCAATTAATACATAGAAATTTATTTATTATACAGACAGTTAAAAAGTGGAAATATTAACGCAGATTTAATATTTAATAGCTATATTATCAAGGTATCTGTGCTACACTAAATAATTTTGAATTACATTTAGTTGAATCCAACTAGCGGTGTAAAGATAGATCATTGTAAAATTTGCTTTATACTGCAAACTGGCAAAATTTGATTAGATGGACAAGTGAGTTGCAAAACTAAAATTTCAATCAGATTATTTACTGGGACAAATTGCGTATTTAGTCGTCGTACTTTCTCAGATTCTATTCAAATGATGCCAGTCCATGGTCGATAATATCGTCACTAGGTTAATAAGGTCATAACAGCTATAATAAATTCGATTCCTTGACGCATCAATCAGCGATCATCAGTTTAAATAAGTAACAGACGAAATTCTTTACATTCATTTTGTGACAGGTTTAAAATATATGTTTAACTCTAGTTTGATAATTTAAACTTTAGAAAACTTAAAAAAACCGAATGTTGACCATCTAAAATCTATTATGGTAACTTTATTCCTGTTGAAAATAAAGGATTTCTTTGACAATCAGGATGTTCATGAATGGAAAAGCATCAAACATGTGAAATGACTACAAATATCTGTAAACATCTACTTGACGTAGGAAGTTTGTTTCACAATTTCCTTCTATTTACTTGTTATATGAAAATCTAAGTAGCATTTCATCCTAAATTAACAGATTTTAAAAAGAATAGATCGAAGCACAAATTATGGAAATGATTAACGCCTGTTAGCTATTCAGCTAATAACGTTCTTATAATTGTTATTACTGACAAAGATAACTTCACAAAAAACGTCATTTTCAAAAGTAAAACATTATACAAGTGTATCGATTTTTTCATAGAAATTAAATAATACTGTTGCTTCAACGACAAGGACTGAATTGTTCACAGTAAATTGACTGGTCATACAGAGATTTGTTTTAGAGTTAACCATCAAAGTAGAATAACAGACTTAAAAAAATATATTTTCAAAATGTTGAAACGATTTTGTAATGTGCACATTTCTCAGCTTTAACATGAAAATCATTTCAAATTCTAATTATCTCGAATATACAATAGCTGATTATCTTAAACGCGGAAAATCGAGGAAATAAAGCATGCATTTTAAAAGGTAGTTTGATATTGTAAAGTCTGAGTCTTGTAAGTCTTAATTTACGCTCCGATTATAACCATAATCCACTAATACAAGGAGATGAATATAAATTAGCTTCAGAAATCACACTCGTACAAGTATAAATCAATTATTAACAGTTCCTATACTTTGATAATAATCAGCAAAATTCGGTGTTTATGGGAAATTAGCATTTTAAAACTATTTATCATCATTGATATCTTCTAAAATTTGCCTTTTTTGACATCACTGCTCATCAAAAGTCATGTTTATTAGTTTATTTATCTACTAAATTTAATTTTTCAGAGTGCTTCCAAAGGGCTTTGTAACAGATACAAAGCGGTAGAATAAAAGCAACAGCTTCTCAGAGTTAAACCAACTGGACTAAAGTGTCATTGATAACTTTGGAAATGTATTTCTTTTTATCTATTTAAAAACCGATTTTATTTGACTATGGAGCACGAGCACATATGAAATTAAGATTACATAATCGTTACGTCAGATGGAAGTCATATGGTGTTGAAGTTATTTTCACATACTAATGAGTCTTCATTTTCCTAAAGGAAGCCAGGTGTTTTTATTAGAAATGTGACTGAATTTGCATGAAAAGGAAAAAAAATGCCATGATGAAGAATGATTAAACTAAATAATGAACTTTTATAAAATCTACCGAAATGAAAGAAGATAAATAAGTAATATATCCAATTTGGAAATATGATGAACATAAAGTTTAATACTTCATTATTAACAGTCACAAAAAACGAACACAAAATAACTTTCGGTTCATAAAGTTTGCTGAATTATCTGAACGAATATATATATTTAGAGACCATAAATATAAGGCGTTGATAGATAAATCAAACTAGACAAAGAAGTTTAAAATAAGAAATAATTGTAAATCAGAAGAAGTAGTACGGAAAAGCTAGCTAAAAATATTGAACGTTTATATTATGTAAAGAACATTGCAACATGTCATGAATAAAGTGAAAGATTTTAAAACCCAAATCATATGTTAAGAAAAGTGGAATGGTAAAGTTATGAATTCACTGGGATGATATAAACTCATACGGGAAATGGAATATTGACAAGTCCTTGTAAACATGATCTAGATATTAAGAATGTGTCTATCATTAAATAATAAAAATCGTCTATTTTATTATCTTCACTAAACATTACAAATATTACAGATTTCTAAAAAAAGTTTCCAAGCAATTAATAAAGTATGATAAATATTTTTGAGATCAAATTCACCAGTTTAATGTGAAGATAAACTATTTTAAGACGGTGATAGTTTCCACAATTAACGTTGTTTTTTATCAATACAAGATGCAGTTAGTAAATCAGTATTTAAAAAAATAAATGATACGAACAAAAACACTTTCATCAGAATTCATTAGATAAGTTCACTCATTACTTTTATCCATTCTAATTTCTCTAAACTGAAATGATGAACTTCAACCTAATTTGTTAGTTAGCTTCATCATAAACCATGCACCATGTTTCGTTAATTTATGCTGTAAATCTATCCACTGAATTCCTCTTTTTTTGATTTGTTTTCTAATTCACTAGCAAAATACTTTTTCAGTATTTTTAACCATCAGGACAAATATAACAAAATTAAGGTTTTTCTTGACATGCCCATACATCATTGCTTTCATTTTGCTGATTCAGTAAAACAGTAATACTCTTTTGTGAATTCAGTGTTAGAATTTCTGCAAGTTCCATTGTCCTAATGATTATAATTTATTGTTATTGCATGCCGTGTTCTTGACGATTCAAATAATCAAAAGAATTACTACAATAAACTATTGACAAGTAATTCATGTTACAAATCAATGATCGTTCGATAGCGTAGAACTTGATTAAATGGATTCAGTCAATGCAAAGAATTTAAGTAATATTTAATTCCTAAAATATCTGAAGTTTACAAAAATATGTATTATATGATTAAACAGTTGATCTGATTGATCCTTAGGATAAATTTCAAGAAGAACCTGATATTGATGCAGTTTTTTAAAGTACTTGATGTAATTCGATACAGAGTCAAGCGTTTTTATTCGGTTAATTAACATTCTTTAGGTCTTATTATTAAACTTATTAATTTTAAAAGAAAAAGAATATAAAGTTTTAGTGCACTAGAACTATTGTCAATTCATGAACAAAACAATAACCTTAATTCGTAGCCATAACTCATAAATGTAACTTGAATTTTGATTCCGAACTTTAACTTTTTGTATCATAACTTATTTTATTTGGTGAATAAAACCCTATAGATCTGTAACACAAGCACACTACACAAACCCGACCCCTTCGATGTCATGTTAACCCGTTTCTTTCTCCGAAATAAATAATTTCGTATGTAAGTTTTCATCGTTCGTATTATCTTAAGTTTATTTTTATTTTTTATAAGTAAACACTGCTTCCCGGTTGGCTAATAACTCGCTCAAAGTTGTCAGTTTAGCATACTTTTACCAGGGTTTCAACCTTTTAACCAAAGAGATATAACACTTTAATGATTAA